GGGTGTCCCACGCACGGGGGGCCCGGCGGCGCGCCCCCAGCCACATCCAGCTAACGCCGCCCGTGGAGGGCACACTGCCCTCGCCCGCGACAGCCCAGCAGACAGCTCTGCTGCGGTCCAGATGGCACTGCTCGTCAACGACAGGCAGGACAGGTGTACCGGGAGGGGCTGAGAGCAAGGGTTGGCGGGGTCACAGGTCAAGGAGGCTAAGGTGTGAGGGTTGACCTCAGGGGCCGCAGAGCTCACCGTAACATTTATACTTAATCTGAGTCATTCCCCTGGTGACCTGGCTCCTCGTCCTCACTCTGGCGCGGCGTGTGGCGGGCAGCAAGAGAAGAAGACACGGACCGTCAGCGAGCACAAGCGGAGGGGCCGGGAAGGAGCCGTGCAGCCACTGCTCCAAGGTGTGGGCTCAGATGCAGACGGCGGCCACACGCCCTGTCCAGAGCAGGTGCTGCCCCGTGCCGGCAAGGAGCTGAGCCCTGCCCATGAGGCCTGGCTAGGCCTCGGCTCCTGGGCGGTGACCTGACAGCCCTGGTCTGCTGGAAGCTGTGGGCCACCCTGGGCCACATGGTGGAGGGGGGCCCTGGGTCAGAGGGGCTGAGACCAGGCCCTACCACGTGGACCAATCGGCCTCAGCTGCCACGGAGATGTGAAGTGTGAGAGCTCCCTGCCACAGCACGCACACGCACACACATGCCCACACCAGGTGCAGTGTCCTGGCCCACAGGGAGGCCCGTCCCACCCTCCCCACTGTCTCTTCCCTCTCTGTTCCTGTGACCCTGAGTCTACTGCTCAGCCAGTTCTGGGGCCTTCTGGCCAGTTCCCGAACCTAGTGACTGGTGCCGGGGCAGGATGATCCCACACGCTGCAGAGCTGGCCGTACTGTCCCTCGCTCCCACCACCGATGGGCTGCCCAGGGCACAGACACAGGGACCTGCCCTCAGCACATGTGGCCATATATGGGATGGCCCTGGATCTGTGTGCTCCAGGTCTGGCTCCATGTGGAGGCATGGTATCCAGGGCCCTGGTCTTGCCTCTTTCCTGGGGAGCTGCTAGGGCCACCCCACATCAGAGCCAGGTATTTTCGGAGAAAGGGGGCATTTTCAACAGAGCAGGGACTTAGGAACACCCCTGGTGCATCCTTTCTGCAGGACCAGCCTGGGGGCCCGGCTAGGCAGGACGTGGGCTCACCTTCCAGCCCCAAACTCGGGGTAGGACTGACCTGGACTGGGCTCTGGCTTCCCCTCCTGAGGCCAAACAGGTGGTAGAAGTGGGGGTGGGTTCTGACAACTGCCCATGGCCAAAACCGACAGGACCCTGAGCCTAGGGCAGAGCCAACTGTCTGGTCCCAAGTACAACCTCTGAGGCGATCCGGAAGGCTCGCAGGTGGGCAGTGGGCATGCCCATGTCTAGTGCCCTCAGTGGACACCCAGCTCTGGCCTTCCTTTGGGGGACACTCTGAGCCCTCACCAGGGTCGCTGGGGGCCTAGGCTCATATCCTACGCAGGCTGCTGAGGGGCCTGCCTGCCCTGACCTCTGCTGACACCCGAGAACCTGAGCTCTGCCAGCCCAGCACATCTGCGTCTGCCTGGTGCCTACGGGCAAGGCCCCGGGGCTGACCCAAAGGCAGGCACGCCCGTGCCCTGCGATGTACCCCTGGGCTGCCGTGGCTGCTGTGGGAGGTGGAAGAGGCCAGCCCTCAGGGAGCCTGGGCCAAGCCACTCAAGGGCCGCACGCGGGGGCCCGAGCCTTGGGATCTATAGGACGCTCCTTTAGCAACTAAACCCGACTCCCACACTGGTGTGGCCAAGGCAGCTGCCGATGTCGAGGACCTGCGCTCAGGAAAGGGTGCGAGGCTTACCCATCACAGCTGAGTCCCAAATCCTGAACACACACCCACGCTGCCCCAGAAACACCTGCACCCCCAAGAGCACGGCCGCCGGCGCCCCCTGGCTGGCAGATATACGGCAGCCCCAGGAGAGTCCTGCTCTGTGGCTGAGGGGACCCTCCCCAGGGACCGTACTGCTGTTTCTACCTCCAGCAGGTGAGGCAGGGGTCATGTGAGCGGGACAAGCAGGAGAACTAGATGTGACAGACCCCAAGGAGAACACAGGCCTTCCAGAAACCAACCTGCAGAGTACCCTGGGCCGCCAGGCCTGCGCTCACCTTGGCCTTCTCGCTGGGCTCGCTGGCTGTGCCATAGGGGGCGGTGTGCAGCTCCTTGGACACCACACAAAGGAACTCCGCCTGGTCCTCACTGCCGTAGTTGTAGGACGAGCCGATGCTGACCAGCTGGGGGGTAGGGGGACAAGCGTGTGACACTTGCATGGCCACCCGTCGGGAAGCCCCAGCAGAGACCGCCAACATTCTACCCTGGTGGGGCGGGCTTCAGCCGGGGACTTCATGGACTGATGGGAAACGGAATCCTGAAGCACCGCATGGCCAGGGCACATGCCTGCCCTCTGTGTGACGATACTGTGTGCCACCGCGGGCCTGCACCCACACCCTCAATGCGGGGTGCTGACGGACCCTCTAGGGAGACAGTCCGGGAGGGGTGGGGTGGGAGCTTGCCCAGAGACTGCGCGGGACGAGAGGGGGCACTGCAGTCCGGCTGCCAGAGAGCCTGCTGTTCCCACCTGCGCCTGTCCCCGGCCTTTCCCAGGGGAGCAGGACCCCAGCTCAGGCAGGAAAATGGGAGGGCTGCCTGGAAGGAAGGCAGGCAGAGGCCAGGGGGGCAGCCCACTCGGGGAGCCTGGAGGAAGAGCTGAGGGCCGAGATGCCTGGAATTTTTTTAACTGTATTTGTTTCCTTCTTGTTGTGAGAGAGGAGAGAGGGAGTGTGTGCACGTGCGCACCACGGGGACCTGCACGGGGCTCTCCGGGTCTGTGCTTGCCCATCTCACCCATAGGCCCTGCCGCACCCCGGCGGGCACAGCCTTTCCACCAGGTCAGCAGGTGAGGGGCCGGTCTACCTGTCTCCCCAGGCACTAGGTGCCTGTCCACTCAGGAACTGGTTTGAGTTCCTCACCTGGCGGCTTTCTTTTTCTCTCTCCCTCCCTACTCTGTCCCTCTCTGGTCAAATTAAAAATAAATAAATAGGGACCAGCAGATGGTGTAATGGTTACGTTGGACTCCCACATAACCAAGCGCAATTCGAGTCCTGGACCCAGTGGCTTAAACCTTACACCAGGCACGTGTACATGAGTAACCCAAATGCCGAGACAGAAAGCAAGAAATCCCCCCAAGGGGGACGGCCATGTTATAATCCATTCTCCTTTTATGATTTTGGGCACGAACATCCAGAGTGAATTTTAAGCTGCCAGGTCCGGGACTCGAACCATGGCAGACTACATAGAGTCCAGTGATGTAACCATTACACCATCTGCTGGTCCCTTGGTATTTTTTGGGAGGGGAGGTCTAAATACTCTAAAAAAGACAGAAACCACCGTCAGTGTGTTCCAAGGCCCATGACGGTGGTCCACAATGCCATGTCACCTGAGGAAGCTGTGACAGCTGCTCTCCCATCTGCAGGGCAACCACAGAGGGAGGAGCGGGAGGAGCGGGCAGAGGGGGCAGGCACAGGACAAGGGCTCCGGGAGGCTCAAGCATCGCCTTCTTGGCTGCGACACCAGACCACACAGGCCCTGCGCCTCACCTGCTCGAACTTCCAGCCGTCGGACATAGTGGACACCATCTGTGTGAGCTCCTCCTCCTGGCACTGCAGCACTCGGTACACGTGCTTCACGGGCACCTGCAGGGGCAAGGCTGGAATGAGCCCACGCCCCACCCGCCCCGGCCAGGCCGAAGCCACCTTTGCCTCTGCACCCCGAGCAGGTCTCAATACCCACGGACCTGAGGATGCGCCGCAGAAGCAACGCCCCAGCCAGGGTCCGCTGCCATTTTCTGCCTCCATGTTTGCCTCCGAAAACATTTCTGTCTTGGGACCAGCAGTTGGCGTAATGGCTATGTCGCTGAACTCCCATGTAGTTGACTGCGGTTTGAGTCCCGGACCCGGTGGCTTAAGTTCACGCCGGGCGCGTGTGCACGTGTGCCCAAGATCCCGAAAGGAGAAAGGAGAAGGGATTGCGGCATGGCTATCCCCCCGGGGGCTGATTTCTTGCTTTTTGTCTCTCTCTTTCTGGAGAGCACACGCACCCTATAGCAAAAACCTCTCAAAACAACAAAAAAAAGAAAACAAAAAACAAACAAATATTTCTGTCTCATCCCAACAGAGCGACTCGTGCTCCTGAAACCCCGACCACAGCTGTGGCTAGGCAGGGAGACCTGGGCGTGCCACCTCTGCCCCACGCGGGAGCACACGCCGTTTCTCAGCTGACGGGAGGGCACCATGCCTGCCACCAGGAATGGCTCTCAAGCTGGGCCCAGCCCAGGCTGCCCCACCCTCTATGGACGGGCTGGCCTCTCAGGATGGCCACCCCAGTGCCCTGCTGCCTGACAAACGTGCCCCGTGCTGTGCCCGGCCGTTTCTGGTCCCGAGGGAAGGCTGCACTCCCACAGGTGCAGTCCTAGGAGCCCCCAAACATAAGTCGCGCAGAGCTCAGGAGGATGTGTCCCAAGGACACGTAGCATGGGAATCCCATGTCCCCATGCTAGGAACACAGGTGACAAGGCCACCTGCTGGTCTCGTTGTCACACAACCCAGCCCTACCCTGTGCTGGCACCTGTGAGGGAGAGAGGCCCGGAGCCACCGTGTCACAAGTGGTCTTGCAGGCAGGGAGCTCGACGCAGCCTGGGGAGGGCTGGGTGGAGGGAGAGCAGCAGGTGGGACGAGGGGGGCCTGCCCCACCTGGCCACGACCAGCTAAGTGGCCAGGCCGAGAGCTCCAGCCCAGGGTCCGCGGGGCAGGGCAGAAGTGCCTGGAGCAGTGAGGGCGAGCCGCTCGGAGAGCGCAGTGGCGAGGCCCGGAGACGGAGCAGCCAGGCTCTGTACGCCCACCCACGGCGCCAAGGAGCTGAAGCAGCTGGGCAGGGCTTGGTGCTCTGGGGCGACAGCGGCCAACGCCGAGACCCGACCGCGCTCCCTGCAGAGGGCCCTGGGTGTTGCTGGGGCAGCTGACAGGCGGCGTCCACAGGCCCAGGCACGTGGAGCACGCCTCGCCCTCCTCCCTGAAGCCCTCGGGCCCGGCAGACCCACATGCTCCCTGCCACCTAAATCCCGGGCACCCTGGGCCTCAGCGAGCTCCCTGGCCTCAGCACCTCTGTGGTCTCACCTGTGACGTTCTGCTGTCTCGTTCTCGAATTCTGTCCTTTACGAGTTTGATCAGAGAGGTGATGTTGTAAAATTCCGCTTCCTCCAACACTCCTGGAACAGAGGCAACTGTCGGTTCGAGCAGCCAGGGCAGATGAGAAGACGCCTCCCCCGGCCCGGCTGGCAGTAGACCTCCACAGAGCGTCCTGCTGAGCCCACCACAGGCACCTTCCCTCCATGCCCTGGAGGCTGCCTGTCCTGTGCTGGCTGACACCACGGCTGGGAAGCTGCAGACGGCCGGGCCACAGGGGGAGACGTGGGGGCTCGGGCCTTGCTGGGGCCTCGTGCATGGCACCTCATTTTCTCTGGAAAATGGAAGCCTGGCTGGCCGAGAGGAGTGCCCTAGCCCCAGCACGTCCTGAGACTGCCGTCTGTAACATGCCACACGTAGGGACTCGAAACCTCCTGGGAGTTCCCAGAACAGGTTCCAGGGCCCTGCTCCCTGTGGGTATTCTGAACGTTCAGGCCCGCAGCTGGGCCAGCAGGCACAGCGCAGTGGGCCCTGGCAGCCCAGGGGCGCGTCTGGCTCCAGCCACTTCTAAGGAAGCACACCGGTTGCCGGCAGGCTGCTGGAAGTGAGCCAAGGTCACCATGCCTGAGGAGGGCAGGCAGACCCTGGGAACACCGCAGGAGGAGGGGCTCGCACGCCGAGTGCTTACACCGGTAGCACACAGGCCCAGTCCGCCCCGGGCCAGTGCGGCCACTTTCATGCCGTCAAGGAGAGCAGACCCAGTAGACCAGGCTGTGGGCACACTCTGGGCACCCAGGGCCTCCAACTGTGTTGGCCAGAGCAACTGCCAGGGTGTGGGAGGCCCCGGCCAGCGTCACCTCCAAGGGCCAGGTCCCGGCCCCCCATCTGGGAGGACGTGAGGGGCTCACCAGCGCAGGGCGAGCTTCTCCGCAGGGGCTCAGGGCCCGACTCACCTTCCTCGGCGAGGTCTTTGTTGACCACCAGCTTCCCGTGCCTCAAGTAGTTGAGCACAGGCCCGAAGTAGGTGGGGTCTCTGTCGATCAGGTAGGCCCCCGTCTCATCCTGCAGGGCAAGAGGCAGCCTGGGTGAGGGGCCTCGCTCACGCCACTGCCCCCAGGCCAGCCAGGAAGGTCCCTTGCCTCTCACCCGAGCCAAACCCACGCCTATGGCACCTCAGGGACCCTTGGCCATTTGGCCAATCCTCAGAGAGGTCCAGGCCGAGGCTGGCTCTGTGCTGCACTGCAGTAAGCCTGCCGTAGGAGCCCAGGTGACCACGCCAGGAGCCTTTCCCGCCCACCCCACGGCCACACCCGCAACTGCAGTACCACCGCCTCTGCTCACTCTGCAGGTCCCGCAGCCGGGGCCCCTGGCTCTTGCTCTCTCTGGCGGCCATCCAGGCCCAGGGGCTCCCTGCGCGAAGGGTGGCTTCTGTAATGCGAGGGGAGCCGGGTTGGGGGCACAAAAAGGCCACACAGACAGGGAGGGCCTTGTTTGCTGCCAAACGTGGCCCTGGGCTCAACAGTGACTGCGGACCACTAAGGGACCCTGCCCCTGGGCAGCAGTTCCCAGGGGCTGTGCCATTCACATGACTCGGCCAGAGGCCTTTCCCCGGCCCAGCTGCCAGCCACGGCGGGGAGCAGGGATGGCAGGTTTCTGTGGCCTCTTCCCCAGGCCCCAGATGCCAGTGACACAGCTGCCTTGGGGATGGGCGGGCAGCAGGCAGGCT